CTTTTAACATAATAAAAGTTTATCAGAAAAGTGACCAAAGGAAATTATAAAATAAAAATCAGAAGCCAGATTTAAATATAACCTTCATACATATCTGATATAATGATGCTCAAATCTTTTTCCTCCTAAGAACTTTTCTTTAGACTTCATAGACCTCCTTTATGTCCTTGTCTCTCTCCTATTTCACAAAGCATGATAGAATATTTTTACCTTGTTTTTACATGCTTTTCCTTTATTATCCATATGCATGTTTGTGCTTACTACTCTACAAATAGTTGCTAAGGCCTCTTTTTTTTTCTTTTGGCTTCCCTGGTGATGTTAACTAAAGTGAAATTTTCTTTGTTGACTGACAAGTACATTCTCTGGGGTTTGGCTGACGCCAGACATCAGAGAAATTAGGAGGAATATTTCTGCATTTGTTCTAGATGTATTCTGAAAAAAACAACAAACTGCAGCTTTCCATAAATTGGGATCTAGGCCAGATGAGATTTCAGATAGCATGAATCATTCTTCATTCTTGATAATAGTGACCTTACATGCGCAGTTACCTGTTACACTGGTTTTTCCTACTGGTAGAAAGTTTATATATTTTTTTATTCTCAGGACAACTTAATGTAGCCATCCGTTCTGGGTTATACATGGCATCAAACTGGAAAATGGCCATTAGGAAAATTATAGAGGACTATGCCCAGTGTATATTGCACAGTGTATCTAGTGCTTAATTTAGGGAAGTTATTGGTTTGCCTGTTGCTGAATTAACAAACAATTGCCTTTCAAAACTTGTTGAGGACCACCTTTGGTATAACTCTTGTTGCTGTGGTCTAGTTACCAAACATATTGCAAAAGGCCTATTTCCCCTTCTGGAATTTGGAAAGCATGAGTAAAGCAGCTTACCTTTGAAACAGAACCAGAAGGGACAGCATCATCTGTCTGAACCAAAAACAGTGTTCCTGGCCCCATATGTTCTAAATTGATTAGCTGATGAATACGCTTTGGGCTTAGTTGTATCTTTTATTAGATCTTGAAAACTTTTAATTATTAAGTCAATATGTCAAAATAGAAAGTGGATAATCCTCTTTCCCCAGGATGTTCTCTGGAATCTTTTTCATGTTTGTATAAACAGAGAAAGGGGAAAGAATTAGCAATAGTCTATATTATAAAAGGCTTGTGGCCCTAACGCCGTAATGACCAAAGACCAGCGCAGGTGGGCGGGTTGCGCGATTTCACATGCTGGGCTTCTAGTATTGCAATATGTTCCTCTCCCTGTTGATTTCTCTTCTGACTTAGGATATGGCCCACTGTTGGGCTAACTTTGTGAGTAGATGATTATGTAATCTCTGGGTTGGTGGAAACCTGATAGCGGATATAGGATTCCAATATTAAAACTGGAAAAATGGGTACCTGGACTTTCCAAGGATTGTATAGGCACAGCTGGTTTAAAGGAATCCTTTAAAAGCATATTTGTTTTGATCACTTGTATTCCAGTAATAATTGTAATGGTAACTCGAATCCAAGACAAAAATTTTAACACTTAGAACCTTATAGTCACAGTAAATAAAGAAATATTTTAATTTGTATTTTTGTTGGTAAAACTATGATATAAATTAGGTTGAAATTTTAGGGGATAAAGTGTAAATATTATTTAAAGGAAGAAAAAGGAATGATGTAATATTTTTATTTAAAAAAGAACATGTTAGACTTCAGATTCCACGTACCGGCAACCTTCTGATGCACAGGTAGGATGATACTCCAACCAACTGAGCCACACTGGCCAGGGCACCATAACAGTCTTATGGTTCTTTTATACTCAATGTTCAGTAAACAGTAAAAAATAATGAGGCAAGAAAATGTGGCTACTAATCAAGAGAGGAAAAAAAATATAAGCCAACCCACAATTTTATGCAGATATTTAAATTAACTGACAGTGACTTTATATTATAGGCATGATAAAGAAAATAGGAGAAAAGGTGGACAAAATGGATGAGAAAATGGAGAATTTCAACAAAATTGGAATCTATTTAGGAGAATAATCTTATAGATATTCTAAAACTGAAATGTCTAAAATTAAGAATTTATTGGATGGGTTTAACCTCCAGAGGACAGGTTTGGTGAATAGAAGACAGATCAATAAAAGATAACTGCTCCCACCCCCCAAAAAAAGATAACCAAACCATAGGACAATGAGAAAAGAGAATGGAAAGAGCAGAACAGAGAGCATTAGAAATAAGTGGAACACAGATGGTCTGATATATATGAAGTTGATGTTCCAGAAGGATAAAGAAAATGAGCAGAAACAATATATGAAGATATAATAGCTAAAAGAATTTTTCAAAACAAATGAAATATACCAATTCTTAGATTCAAGAAACTCAGTAATGACAGTAGGATAAATACAACACACCTAGGCACATCGTAAGTCCAACTATTGAAAGCTAAAGATAATGAGAAACCCAAAAGCAGCCTGAGAAAATTTCTAAATCAGTAATAAATAAAGTGCTTAAAGAATGAAAGCCAGCTGACCTGAATTCTATATCTAGGGAAAATAATCATTCAAAAATGTCGGTAAAACAGACATTTTAAAAAGTTATAGAATTTTAATATAATGACTTAGCAGCCCTTAATGAATTAATACATCTAAATACCGAACATCAACAACAACTTAACATTACAAAAGGAAAGGCAATTAGACATGAGCCTCTGGATGAAAGAACAATACTACCCATGGTCTTTCAAAATTAAACCACCCAAATCTGAACAGACCTCAGGATCCACCTTTCGATTTGCAGGAAGTATAATAGAGGTCAGAGGGGTATATTGTACTGTATTGTGAGGATACAACCCACAAAATCCAAACTGTCAGAAATTCTCAGACCCATGTTCTTCAACAAATACATTCGAATGGGAAAAGAAGGATGGATAGGAAGAAACCTATTGTTAGGAAACATAAGAGACAAAAAAACCACAGGCAAAATTAAAGTATTTAGGAATGCACACCTGGGTAAATAAAATTATTTTTAAATGCAGAGAAGTGATTAATATAGAAGTCAGGATAATGGTTACATTATTATCTATTATTACTTAACTAGAGGCCTGGTGCACGAAATTTGTGCACGAGGGGCGGGGCGGAGGGGGGAGTGTCCCTCAGCCCAGCCTGCACCCTCTCCAATCTGGGATCCTCTCACAATCCAGGACTGCTGGCTCCCAACCACTCGCCTGTCTGCCTGCCTGATTGCCCTTAACCGCTTCTGCCTGCCAGCCTGATCACCCCCTAACCACTCCCCTGCCAGCCTGATCAATGCCTAACTGCTCCCCTGCCAGCCCGATGGCCCCTAACTGCCCTCCCCTACTGGCCTGGTTGCCCATAACTGTCCTACCCTGCAGGCCCGGTCACCCCCAACTGCCCTCCCCTGCTGGTCATCTGTGGCGGCCATCTTGTTTTGCCCATCTTGTGACGACATGAGGGTGGCCATCTTGTGGCAGGCCTCCTGG